TGTATTCCTAGCACTAGGGAGGCTGAAAACAGGAGGATTACTGAGTCCAATCTGTATAGTGAGACCCTATACTAAATATGTAAAAGAAAGAAAGAAGAGAAGAGAAAAGAAAAGAAAAGAAAAAAGAAAATGATGTTGCATGCCTACAGCCCTAGCATGCCAGGAGGCTGAGATAGGAGGATCACAAGTTCAGGATCAGCCTGGGCTATTTATTTATTTATTTTGACAGAACCAGGAATTGAACCTTTGCACTTGCCAGAAAAGCTCTTATTCCACTGAGCCAACCTCCCCAGCCCCAACCTGGGTAATTTAGCAGTGCAGTGAGAACCTGTCTCAAAAAGAAAAGAAAGAAAAAAAGGAAGAAAGAAAAAGAAGGCGGTGGCAGAGGAGAAAAACAGGACCAGAGGAGGTGGTCAATAATCCAAATCATAAATGGATGCTGAATAGCAAATTCAGAGACACAGAGCAAAGGACAGTATAGAAAGCCCCCAGGGCCCTCCCTAGTTTCACTAGTAATCAGACAGCTCCCATCACTATGGCTAGAGACGCTCCGCCAGGCCTATTGACAAAACCTCAGCAGACTGCAATTGCAGGGGACAGGCGTTGGAGGCCAGAGCCTCCTTCCTGCTTTTGGGGGAGCAGAATCTCCCGCTTTGAAGGTAGCAGGAGCAGCATGGGATAGGAAAGAGACAGGAGGGAGACAGAGTGGGTGGGGACCATGATTCGCCAGGGTGAGACTCACAGTCATGAGAGCAGGGCCCTTGCAGAAGGACACAGAAATTCAAAGTGGCAGCAAGCTGGGTGTGGTGGTGCAGGCCTGTGATCCCAGCACCCGGAAGGAGTGATCACATGTGGAGTTCAAGGTCAGTCTGGAATGCACAGCGAGACCCTGTTGCAACAGAAAAAAAACCCTAAATAAATAAATAAATAAATAAGCAAGCCTACTTACTGACTTGGAGGAAAACACCCCATATGTATTTGGCATGGAAATTTGAATCCAGCTCCTGTCGGCTGATCTGTTCTCTGTAGGCTTGGCAGAGAAGACCTCTGCTCCTGCTCCTCCAGGCAGTTCCTCTGGGGCATAGGGTTGTCAGCGCTGCAAAGGGCCATCTGTGCCCCAGGCCACTCACTGTACTAGCCCAGGCTCCTGGTGACCTGCTTTATGAGGCCTGCTGTGTCTCAGTTAATTCCAGGACTGAATACTTGGGGCTTCACATTCTTCATGGTTTTTCTGGGGTTTTTTTGTTTTTTGTTGTTTTTTGGTCAGTTTGGGCTGGCCTTGAACTTACTTTGTACTCCTGGCTGGCCTCAAACTTGCAGCAATCCTCCTGCCTCAGTCTCCTGAGTGCTGAGGTGACACCACACCCAGTGCTTGGTTTTATTTTCTTGCCTATAGTACTAGGGGTTGAATCCAGTGCTTTTACACTGAGCACAATCCCCAGCCTCTTTTGTTTTGCTTTTTTTTTTTTCTATTTTGAGACAGGGTCTCACTAAATTGCTAAGTTGCCCAGGCTGGGCTTGGACTTTTAGTTGTCCTGCCCCAGGCTTCATAGTGCTGGGGCTTACAGTATCAGGAAGAGTTGTCCTTGCTTCTCAGTCATAGTATTGTTGGGGAGAGGGGTAGGGACACCCCAAAACGCCACAATGGAAAGAGCCTATGAGTAGCAGAAGAACTCATAAAGTAAATAGTATAAAGAAAGTTGGGCTGGTGTGATGGCTCAGTGGTCTAAAGCACCTACTTAGAACAAGTTTAGCAAAGCACAGGGACCGCGGTTCAATCCCCCAGCACCACATGCCAGCCGGCCCCGCCCCCTGGTGGGCTGAGCTGGACACACATAAATAAATAAAATTAAAAAAAAAAAAAAGAAAGTGGTATGTCCATAAAGGGGTATCCTTCAGCCTTAAAAAGGAATGAAATAGCTGGGGTTGGTGGCACTGGGGAGACTGAGGTAGGAGGATTGCTGAGTTCCAGGCCTTCCTGGGCTCCATAGTCCTTACAGAATCCAAGCAATTAGAGATCAGTGGGGTAACAGGAGGGTTTACTTTCAGGATTTTAGACCTATTCAACCCAGCATCCAAAGTTATGGGCTCAGATCAAAGCAAAGGATGTAGTTTCATAAATTGGCTGAGGGGGTTGGTCTTTAGAAATGGAGGTGGGTGGGCAGGAGTGGGTGGAGGGAGGGGGGTGAGGACCACAAGCAAGACCAAGCAATTAATATCCTGGCCATAAAGAAAGAAGAAAGAAAGAAAGAAAGAAAGAAAGAAAGA